GGCAACTTTTAGTGGTTTAACAATTGACGCCTTATTAATGAGAAGTCTTGCCAAATCCGGAAACATCAGGTAAAGTACAACTGGGAGCAGATGAAAAAGCAGTAGTTATTGGTTGCATCAATGAAGTCGGCGCCACTTACGGTGTGGATTATGTAGGGCACATAGGCTTTTTCATGCACTCAGCTTTACCCAGGAAATATTATTATTTTATCCTTGTTTACATGGTCAAAACATCGCTAGTAAAAAGCGTTGAAGTTTAATTTTTGACTATGCTCTGCTTTGGTTTCTTTAATTTAATAACACTTATTAATAATAGCCTAATTTAATAACTTACTTCTCTAACTCAAGCAGCAACATTAATAATAATGTCGTTACTATCATTATGAATATTATGACTAATGAAAAAAAAAAAAGTACTAATGATTGATAGAAAAATATTTTTCAGCTGTATTTATAATAAATAAAAAATAAGTATAATTTTTTTCAGGCATTTTTTTAACCTTATTTTTACTCTTTTTTTCACATTGTTTTTAGTGAATTTTGCTTAGGATGTGGTTAGAGTGGTTAAACAATTTTATACGCCAATTTAACCTTTATTTTATAACTTTGACTGGTTTTAATTTTTACACCATTAATTTCTGGTTACCAAGCTTTAAAGTTTCAAACATTATATGCGTTCCACTTTTATAACTTCCAAATTAAACTTTTGTTGTCGTCTTTTCAAATATTATTTTCAGTTTTTGGACTTCATTCACTGTTGCTCAAGATTTTCTTTTCTCTTATTATTACACTTCAGTTTCAACACATTTAAACAAAGAAAGGTAGAATACTTTGCATAAAACTTATTATTTTTTGTTAGCATGCTAAAATTTATAGAGGAAACTTTTTCTGTGTTACAGATGTTTAGTGAATAATCTATGATGCTTAATTGGGTTACCGGTCAAGTGTATATCTGTGTATAGGAAGCAAAACTGTTGCACATCAAATTATACTGCAAAAAAAGAAGTGAATATGGGTATTATATGGTGCTATATAGTTGTTTATTTCGGGCCAGTTTTTTTTTTTTGATATGCATAGCCAATACCGTTCGGATATCTTACGTCACTGCTGTTCCCGTTGCTGTTGTTGTTTTCAGCAACTGCTGCAGCAGTCATTTGACGAAACAGGAAAAAGTATTTTTGTTTTTTGTTACTAATACTGGCAACTAATATGCTTTAATGATAGAGCAACAATTTAATTAAAGCTTGATAAACCTGTTAATTTTATAATTACAGTTTTTAAAATCTATTTTACTGATACTTTTTAAAAAGTGGTATTTATTGAAGTAAATTTTTTGTTTTCTATACTTAGTAAGCATTGAGTTTGATCATCAAGTAAAGTCTAACTAGTTGTTATCGGCTGAGTCGATTATATATAAATAGGTAAGTTTTGTCGTTTATATTAGATTTAGTTATTATTGGCAGCAGTCTATCGTGACGATGTAATTAGGCGGAAAGGTAAAGCTGTTTATTTATATTTCAGAAATGTTGTAATCGCCAATATTAAAACAATATTAGTTTTTTTATTGAGAAATTAATTTGTATGTACTAAAATGTTAGAATAGATGAAGAAAAGTTAAGCGTAACGAAAGTGTCGACCACGATTACCTGATAAATGCTCACATTTAAATTTACGCACTTCTGTTCTTTCTTTTTTTTTTTTTCAACTTATTCTTTGTTCTAGTACATCGTGCCACTTATTCAATAGATTTACTTTTTGCTCGATGAGTCTTACTTCGTTTCCTTTTTTTTTTTTTATTTCTTAACCATATTTATTTAATAATTGACTAGTATTCTTTTTTTTTTCAATTTAGAGTTTTTTTGCTTCTTAACGTCTAAAAAAATTCTTCCTTTTTGGTTAAAATGTATACTTTCAAAGCTCTGAAAGATTCATGATACAGCTTGGTTTATATGATTTTTTGGTTTACTTACTACAAATTGTTTTCTAAAATGAAGATAAAACTGCTTTTCTGCTTTCTTTTTTTTCACTTGACTACTTTTTTGTACACCGTTTTCGTGTTGCAGTAACAAATTTCTAATAGATGCACTCAAATCTGAGCAACAATTAATTGTTTGATTCGTAACGTAACGGAAACATTGTTCAGTAACCGTCAATCGAAATCTGCTTTTCTGACCACATTTACACTGTTGCCATCGACTACAAATGACCTTTTAGGATCTCCGGGCATTTAATTAGCTGCAGTTTTTTAGGCAGTAATCTCAGAGTATATACCGTCTAATATGTTATCACTTTCTTTTATTTTAATTTTATTCACACCGATAAATGACAGTGGGAAAGCACTAGGATAATTAGGTGAAAAACCGTTTTTTTTTCAAAGTTTTAATTAATTTGAGAAAAGTGGTAGACAAAACAAATAAATTTCTAAAATAAATTATACTTTACATATAATTATTCTGATTTATAAAGAACATTTAGAAACTCAGTCAGACATGTTAAATTTTTTTAAACTACTTGTTCTTCTAACATTATTTAAAATATTAAGGCATACAAACAAAAATTAAATTTCAAAACAGAAAGAAAATAAACAAATAAAAAACAGAACAAGAGAAATGGCTTTGAACAAATAGATTGTATAGAAAGTTGTTTTACAGTTGATTTTTCTCTTCAAATGCTTACACCGTTCTACGTAAATGTCATTTTGCTTTAACCAGAAGGGATTTATCGGTAACTGAATGTCAAGAAATTTATGCAATCTTGAATAAACTTCAGAAAAAAGAACGTTATAAAGATGTTATTTGCAAAACATTGAACATTTCAGTCATAATTTTTTTGATTTTTCAGATTTTTTACCTTTTACAGCAAAAGTAAACGTTTTTTTTTGGTTATTTTAACTTCTCCATATGACGTGCTGACTGTTTTATTCGCTGTTAACTGAGGTTACTTATAATTGTGTTTGATTTTGGGAGGATAGATATACGATTTTCGACGTCTTATTTTTTTCCGCATAATTTTTTGCGTTTTTTATTAATCAGTAATATTTGATTATTAATAATACTGTATTTTAAGAGCATATGTAAAGAAGGGCAAAAAAAAGAAAGAAAAAATTCAGAAAACAATGGATGAACAGTCGGATCCATCAGACCCATCACAGACTTCACAGGCGACAAGCTCCAATCCTGTGGAAAATCCTCTCAATGGCTTAAGTAAACCATATAATTATTCGCGTCGAAAAGCCGGCGAATTCTATTCAGCAAAGACAGTATTTTTTTATAAGGAAGGAGATATTTATTTTACGGTAATTGACGTTGAAATTTTTTAACAAATAAAGCCTTTGAGCAAAAAATAATTGTTTTAAAAATTTAAAGTTTAAAATTTACAGTCTAATTATTTGTAACAATTTTGAAGTAATTACGACAAATAGTACCGAAGTAATCTTCCTTAAGAATTTTTGTAATGATTCAAGGAAGAAATTCATTTAATAATCCGAATCAAAATAATGGTGACTCACAAAAACCTTCTTTTTTATATTTTTCTGTTTTGTTTATTTTAAAAGTATTATCAACAAAAGAATGCTAAAAAACAAAAAATTTTTTTGATTAATTTAATTTTTTGACGTAAAATAAATGTTGTTTTTTGCTTTAAGAGTGTTCAGAGGATATTTACCCTTGTTGTTTTGAAGAATAGACTGTTTATATAATATTTGAAGAATAAATTTTGCTAATTCAGCATTATTTTTTTGGGTGATGTCAGAAAAATGCTCAAACAGTTACAGTGAGTAACTGTTAAATAAAGTAAGACCAGTCAAGAGTGTTGAAATAATTTCAGGGTTTAAGAGTGCCTGTTTCTAAAGCCAGATACAGAACTATAGATTCACTGCTTGATGACCTTAGTCACAGCATATCAATGCCGTTTGGAGTACGGCGGGTTACCACTCCATTTGGCAAAACTACAATCGAAAGTATAGATCAATTCGAGCATTTAGGAAGGTAAATTTGTTTTTCTTTTCCGGCATGTCGAGACCACTACAATTTACCTCTTATAATTGAAGTAACATTTCTTGGTTACTGAGAGTAAGTTTTTCCTGGCAACCACTTTAGAGGCCTAAATTGTTTGTCGTTAAAAAATTGCAATCACTGTTATGCTATATAGTAACATAAAGGTTTGCTCAAACAAAACCTCTTTGATAGCTTTCTTCAACATTAAATCATTCTTGATAATCTACTGCAACGTCAAGTAGCTATCTACAACGATGCCGACACATAGGTGCTGCTCCGCAACTGCACACAAGTCCACGGTAAAAAATGTTTATTTTAACTGTATTAGGGTTAAATTTCCAGATATATTGTTTCGTCAACAAGAAATGTAAGACCGTTGGATTTTTCGTTGATAGATAAGATCGGTAAAGTACGAAAAGAAAGACATATGCAAATGCAAGTCAATAAACCTGGTGGAGCATCATTTTGGGTCTGTAACTGCTCCTTTTGCTAGCTCATATTATTATTATTATTATCATTATCATTATCATTATCATTATCATTATCATTGTCATTATTATTATTATTATTATTATTACTGATATAGCTGTAATTACTGTTAGAAAACTTTTAGTCAGTAATTTCACAGCCTTTATTCTTTCAAAAACAAAAGTTTTTTTGTAACGTGTAGCTATTTTAAAAAGATGAACTTTTTTACATTTAGGTACCAACGTCACCAACTTTCAAAGCTAAGTTACGGATGTCAAGAGCAATTGGTCTTTCCTGTCTACCGCCTACTGCAAAACAGGTTAGTCTTTAAAACAGAATATAATTTATTAGAAAAATTTGCACTTTATTTTTAACAGTGTTGAAACAAGAAGTTTATTTACAACATGTTTTCTGATAAGTAATCTAGTTTTGCGAGAACCGAATTGCTAGAAGCAGTAGAGTACCTTTTTAAATTTTTACAGTCCAACTATTGGACAGAGTGAAAATGTATATAGTTTTTCATTTAGACCAGTTGACTTACAAAATGTAAATTATAATCTGTGTTCTTCTGCATTTAAATGTAAAAACAACAAATAGTCTTAAAAGTTTAGCATCGGGAAGTAAAATCAAACGTGCAAAGTATATAAATGATTGGTGATGCTTCGCTGTTTACTGGTCTGCCTTAATCGGTGTAGCTGGTTTATTTAAGTTCACTCTTTTGACAATTTATCAAAACTGAATCTCTTTGCAGGCTGACTTTTTTTTGTCACTCTGACAGTTTCAGCCTTTTGTAGCTTTTTAGAATTTCATTACAAAAGCGGGCATTGTTGTTGTTAGTGCTATAGAATGAGCTATAAAATGATATAAGGAATCTATTATGAAATTTGTAATGCATTTATCAAGAACTTTTCTGTCCTATCATTGTTTTTTCTGACCTCTCTTTGCATAGCACGTCAAAAAGGTTTTGATAATTTAAAATAGCGACAGTTTTCATCTAAATGCTTTTTTCTCTCTCAATAGTTACAATAAATATAGCCATTACAAAGAGGTTTCTGAAAAAGGAATAAAGTTGTTAATAACTGCTTTTTTTTGCATTCTTCTTCAGGTTTACGTTTCTTCTTTTGCAATAATTTATCGAGACTGTAACAATTTTTCATAATAAAAGTAAAGATAATAATAGTAATAATGACTAACACAATAACTTTTCAGCTGTTATTTGTATTAAATGGTAAGCCGTCTCGAATTTATCGTGCAGTTTTAAATCCTGTTAGAGCCAAAACTTTTGATGCACTGCTACAAGAGGTGTCCGAAGGTCTCAATGTACGTATTCTTTACAGTCTTATCATAACAGTAGCCTTCGTAAGTTTATGTGCTAAAAACTTGTTAAATTTTAAGCAGTGACTGGTTGAATAGCAAGTAGAAAAATATACCAATCAGGAATAACTTTTAAAGATGTTATTTGGAGTTATCAGTAATAAAGTATATTGTAGATTGCAATTTTCAAAATATATGCATATAATGGGAAACGTTTGACGACTATCGACGAGCTCATGTCTTTAGGAGAGGCACGAGTGTTAGCCGTGCCCCGAAACGAGAAGCCAAAGTTTAGAACAAAATCATCGTTTCAAAATCAAAAACCATTTCCCAGTGTTTCTATGAGTAAACCGTCGAATTCTACAGGCAGCTCTTCAGCACTGATAAATGACTGTAAATAATTAAACAATTATGTTTTTGAAGCATTTTTTAACTTCTACAGAACTTAACAGTCATTGTTCAGTTATACATTAATTCTGTGGTCACTGTTTTCTTTGTGATGCAAAAAATGCTTTTAAAGATGCAATTAGCGAATCGAAAACTCCGTCACAGTATACCGAAACTTTATCACCAGATACGGATAATTCTATAGAAAAAAAATATTCAAGAAGAGCGCAAACCACAAAAAAGCGGCCAAAATTACTTGGTAGAACTGTGAAAAAATCATCGACAAAAAAACGGCGGCGATCTCAAGGTATCTTTTTCTGCAACAGGACTGTTTTGACACTTTTTTAAAATCTTCTTGAACTCTTAAATGTCGCTAAAAAATACCAACTTTTTTAGGAGGTTCAGCAGACATAGATGATAAGCAGGAACTAAGCGATAAAGTACTGACAATTTCATTCTTATTTTCGTATTATATAATCTGTTTTTCGTGAAAACAAATTTATATCAAACAGTTTACAGCGACATGACTTTATTTTTTCAGTGCAAAGAATTTATTTGAAATTATCCGGAAGATTATTGCAATCTAAGAAAATTTTCAGAATATTGGCGATATTAGTGAAAAGAACTCAACGGCTGACACTGACGGTGTGTTGCGAATATCTGCCGACTTGACCATCGATAAAAACGAGACAGAATTTGACGATACTGTATTGTATACAGAAATGGACGAAAAAATTCCTGAAGAATCAGAGGAACAATTTGAAGATCCGGAAATGATAGACATTCAAAATGAAGCAGCATCAAAAATCCAGATCTTCTATAGAAAACACCATGCTAAGATGAAAAGACCAAAAGATGCTGAACAGTCAAGAAACGTTTTAAGTGCAAATAGCCATAGACTGCCAACTACAGGAAGCAAGATAGAGCCAGACGGTAATTGCATAATCTTATTTATACACTATCTTTTAAGCAATTGTTAGAAAAAAAATGATAAAAACAGTAAAAATGAAAGAAGGTTGTTACGAAAGTAGTGAAAGTGCAAAAATTAAATAAAAACAGATTTTAAGTATGAAACTGTATTAAATTTTCTAGAAATTTTTTGTAGCTATAGCATCTTGGCTTTGTTTATTGACAACAGTGTTAAAAAAGTCATTTTAATCTTAATGCAAAGTGGATAAGTGTATTTACACTATTTTATCTTAGAGCCGTTAGTTAGAAAACTTTTATTTGCAGAGACAAGTAATGAACCTGCAGATAAACATAATTTAGTAAAAAACAGCGAAGAGTCAGCTGAAACAGTGTCAGAAAAAAATGACAATAAACGACGTCCCTTAACATTAAGTAGAGGTCGACCAAAAAGTGACCATAAAGCTGCAAATGCTGCAACTAAAATACAATCTGTTTGGCGAGGGTACAATACTCGTAAAAAGCTAAAATTTCAGAAGAAAGATGATGGTAACAAGGGTACACAGATTTGATTATTTTATTTTCTATAATTTTTTTAAAATTTTTTGGATAAGAATAAGGTTTTTATCAATTAGAAATAAATGTTTAGGAAAAAAATTGGCTGTCATAGTGGAAGAAGATGATTCTCGGTCAGATAACACTAGAAAAGAATCGATTGCTGCAGAAAACAGTTCTGATCAAATTAATCTTTCAAAGGACGAAAAGCAGAGTTTGTTCACTTTATTTGGGCATATATTTGTAGACGTTATTTGTATACATCGTTTGAGCAAACGTATATCTTTAGATACCACTTATACTATATCGGTGTTAACGGGTAATCGATGGGCAGCTGAGATGGATAAGGATCTTTATGTTGAACTGTATGGTGAATATGCCCGCAGTGGAAGGCATACACTTCGGCAAGATGTCTGTTTTAAAAAAAGTTCATTTTGCTTCTTTTTTTTTTTCCACTTTCGTTTTCAATTTTTGTACGGTGACATATCACATAAGATTCATTTTAGCAGTAAAAAAAGTACTTGTAAGTTTTATTTGTCGGTAAAGTGTTAACGAAACTAAATTAGACATTGTAAATTTCAATACTTCTTTCCGCAAGATAATTAGAAGCTTTAGACTAGCTTTAGACAAAAAGTTATTAAATACATTCAGTCGAACACCTGTACTGTAGTTTAATCTTTTACACTATAGTTTGCAGTTGTTTTAAGCCAATCTTAACATTATAAGCTGACAGTCTATTGTAATCTTCTAACATAGTTTGTTAGATACAATTGTTTGTGCGATACAGTTTACACAGTTTGTTAGACAAAATCTCAAGTTTTCTTAGTCTCAAGTTTTGCTTTTTAAAACCGATATTTATAGTTGTCTTCCCCGAAAAGCAAAGAAATTTTTTTGCAGGATATTCTGCATAAATTTTTAAATTTGTTATTTTTCTTTTTTTCTCTGAATACACATATTTAGAAGTAGTTTACTGTATATTACCGACAAATAGAACTTTTATCACTTATGCAAGCGATTTTTTTATTTTTACTGGTATTTCCCAGTTTTGAATAGTTCTGTAGTTGCATCTTGTTTGGTGTTTCTGCTCGTCAACATCACACTTTTAAGTTCATTGGGTTTCTTAGTTCTGCTCGCGAACTTTTATTTTTGCAATTAGATGCACTTTTTTATTTATGGCACAATTTTGCATTGCTATTTTAAGTTTATTTACTTAATTTATGTTTTTGTTTTTGTTTTAGCTTAGCAAGCCTTCCTTAGATAAGCACTGTTTAGAAGAACAATCCTTCTTTTCGACACTTTTTAGATAAGTTATTATTTAAGCTAAGTAGCTTAAACGCTCTGATTGAAGCTGACAGGTTATTATTTATATATATGTATATATATGTATGCAAATGTATAACTAAAATTGGTTGTTATTATTATCAGCTTTTATGGTTTCAACTTTTGAACTGCAGTGTCCAAGGTTTTTTATCGCATTTTTTTAGTTTTATTTAGTTTCAGATGTATAATAAAGTTTAACTTTTTTTTTTTGGTTACTTGTCTTAATTACTTCGAGCAGAAAGACGAGTTCAGCCTAAGGCTGAACTGTAAAACTGGTAGTATAAAGTAGATA